CTGGATTTCCTCTGTTTTTCTGTCTTGCTGTGGGGGGAAACAAAGGGAACAAAAGAGCGAGCGGAGACAGTAAGCTTCTCATCCACTGTAGTGAGTGGTGGAGTGGAGCTGTCAGTGGACTGCTGGGCAGACTGGGTGCACTGGTGTTCCTGTGAGAACTAGGCCAGAGGACTGTTGACTGAACCCCAGAGTCCAGAGTCCCGAACAGATGAAATGGAGGATTACTGAGAAAAAGAATTTAAAAGGCAACGGAGAAAAGAAAATAGTCAATATAATGCTCTGTATCAGGGATGAGGGATCATTAGTGGAGGATAGAGGAATATACCAGGGTCCCTGTACACTGTTGGATTTAAAACAGGGATCAGTTTGAGGGTAAAGTGCTGTTTACCTACTCGTTCTGTTTCTTACACACACAAAAAAGAGTTGTAACTCATTTATTTTAGGAAACACAATTATCATGCATGTGATTGTAGCCAAAAAATCAGATAAGTCCATGGAACTGATATATCAAACTGGAAGGGCAATCAATAGAGAGCATAACTCCACCAAAGCTCAACAGTCCCCTGTAAACCACATTTAAATTCACTCTGTCTTGATTTTTGGATCTGCAAGACCCTGATGAAACGTTTGACCTGACATGTGAGTGTGACTGTCACTTGCCTGCACCTTATGTCACAATGTTAAAGAACGTTTTCAACATCTGCACCAAATTTAAGTGAAACAGTGTTAGGGGCTTGTGCATTGAGTACAATGACATTTACTCATTGCCCAGCAGTAACAAAAAGGCTGTGGCTTGTTTGTGTTTCTTGAATCGAATCATAATCATCTTGAGCGACACTAAGACCAGGATGCAGTGTTGCTGCCCATGATGCCCAATAGTGTTGGGTGAAAATGCTGCGAAAACCAGTAAAATACATTGTTTTTATAACCATTGCCATTTTCAGAGTGTAGGTTGCAGCTTGGACATTGTTGTTGTTGTTGTGTCCTGTTAGCGAAGGGCACGAGAAAAACGGTAACAATCAGATAGTGGATAGCAGCAGCAGAATCCCACAGGAAATATTTGATAAGTGGCAGGCTTATACCCAAAGTCTACATCTGGTCATTCAGACTAAACCATCACTAACTAAACACATTTTGGTTTCAAGCACTCAATGAAAACATTGACAAGAAGATAGTACTTTCCAAGGAACACTGGCTATCTAAACTATCCATTCATTTACAGATATTTACTGTAGACATGCAACCACTGACACAATTTCAAATGGCCTTAGCCTCTTTCTATTTGAACTACATCAGATATAGCACACTACAGAGGAGCAGGAGGTGTGTCTAATGGTGGTTTTTGTGTTAAACGTGATTTTTGGGCTGAAGTTACAGCCAAATATAAAGCAGCAATTGTCCATTACCATGTCAGTATAAAAGCTGTTTGCTGCCCACCTCTGTGGTGCCACAGAAGCACATGTTGCAGTTTGAATTAAACTATATTTGAAGATTTCTGTCTCAGCATCAGTTTGACATGAACTGCATTGTATGCTGCTTTCAAGAGATTTTTATGTTCTTCATAGCAAATGAATGACTGTACAGTTTGCTGCATACAGTGTTTATCCTGACAGAGGCAGCGAGAGGAAAGAGGAAGGAACGGAGGCTGTAAAGGAAGAAGGAAATGAGAAATACTGTATCAAGGTCTAAAGAATAAAAGTGAAAATACCTCTCTTTCTTTCCCATAAATGGAATAAATGACACTGTGATTACATAACCGTGCCTCAATACATTAGAGTCGGATGTGTTGAGAGTCTGAAAGTAATTTGGAAAACAGCGAAGGAAGAAAGCTGCGATTAATTTTTAGTTATGCTTTGTTTACACTGGAAAAAATCAGAGTGTCAGCATCTGTATATTTATGTGTGTGCGTGCATGTGTGTGAATGAGAGGTAATCATGCGTGCACTGCTGAGTTTTGCTGTGACACAGGAAGTGGTGATGTAATAGTGCACAATCCAAAAGCTTTTTCACACACTCACTGTCTCCCACTCTGCGTCTCTCACATGCTGATGTATTTGCCCCTCGGCCACCGTGATATTTCAAGTCAGCCAGTCATATGAGAGCAGTGGTTATGGTTGCTTGTCTTTGAGCTCCCTGGTTGAGACAAACAGACACAGACACATTTATGCAGCTCGGAGGCTCAGGCCTATTTCAAAGGATTCCTTATATTGCATGTCACAGATCTTTGTAGAGACAGCCTCTCTTTAACTCAGTGTAGATCAAGGGGCTGGGAACCTCTGGCCTGTCATATATGAGGCAATTCATAATTTAAAACAAAATCATGAATACAAATAGAATTCAGGAATACAGAAAAAATCCCATTACATTAATTAGGTTTTAAACACAAAGTTGAAACTAACATGTTCTTCTTGGTCAGGGTGAAGGAAACGTATTCAGCTTTTAGGCTATAACATTAAACATTGAAAAAAATATCAAATAAGACATTTTTATTTGAATTCAATCATTCTAAACAGTGTAATTGAACATACAAAATGAAACCATAACACTGGTTAGTGTTACATGAGGCAAATATGCCTCCATGTACCTTTCACATTCATTCTACACCTTCAGGAGCATCCTTCATTATGCACAACGATGAGAGGTAAAAGTAGGACTGGTGGAAAACAACTGAAAGAAGTAATGTTTCTCTTAAGTTCTCACATTCAACACACACACACATTATGGGACAGAGTTTGGCTTCACGGAGGCATATGCCCTCTGTTGAGTTGCAACACTTCATGTTTCATACAGTCTCAGTGCTCTGATGAAGACAATTGTGAATTCTTATTGAGAAACTAAAATGAGAGATATCTGTCAGCAGTCTTACTATGACGTTAGTTTGCTTTGAATGGACATATGATCTTTAGGGTTTGTGGTTTATCTTGTCACTGAGAGTGTATATGTTAACTATATTAAACCCATTATCTGGGTATATCCATTGGCTGTTTGGGGTGAATGAACACAGACTGCACAAATGTTAATAAACCAAGGTGAAAATGAGTTTCACCTTCTGCATAATAACACCCGGAGGCTTGTTGGAAATGATCTTTGTTAATGATGGTTAAAAATAGAAATATTTCTTAAGCAATAATATATTTAATTTATTATTGAATTAGGTTTCCTAATGAGGTTCTGGAGTTCAGATTCTGCTTCGGCCAGGGTCTCTCTTTGTTGGCTTATCTCTCCATTCTCATTTTGTGCCTCTGCTCAGTTCTTTGGAGTTACTTGAAGTATTTGTTTGAGTTTGGATTTTGTTTACCTGCCCGCCACCTGGAATACTTGTAATCCTGTTAATTTACATTAGATTATATTCATCATACATAACTGCCTTGTAGATCATCTACATTTTGGGTCTTAAAATCCTCAGCCCCCAACACATACACACTCAATCATCTCTTGGTCACTTGCCACCAGACTCTGTAGCTGGATTGAAATGCTGGAATTATGCTAATGAGGTGGAAGCCTGCTCATCTGTTTATTTATGAGTGTGTGTGTGTGTGTCTGTGCAAGGAATAGGGCGTCACTTCACTTTATCTCCCATCCACACTACTTAAGCTCTGTAGGGCACTTCAAACAGCCTGCTAGGGGAGGGATCTGTGTGAGTGTGTGTGGGATGGAGGATGGTGAAGGGGTTACATTTTGGTACCATTGGGAAATAGGACTCTGATTTCAGACCAAATTAAGCCACATCAAACAGGCCAGATCAAAGAGTATACAGCCTCGACTGTCTGTGCCAGTCTGACATCACGACAGGATGCCCCACCCCTCGACACACACTCCTTTTCCTTCCCACTGCCATAACCCACAGAAATTGTTCTCCAGTATTTCCTGTGCTTTTACATAATGATATAAACCCAAAAAATGAAAGTACACACAGACACACACGCACGCACACACACACACACACACACACACACACACACAATTTGCAAGTATTTATCAGGGTTATAGGTTAACCTGGATCAAGTATAATGTAATAATGTGCTGAGGCTGGGGGTTGTGTGATAGAGCGCAGTCTGGAGGAGGTGTGGGAGGATGGGGGAGCAGCATCCATTAGAGACTCAGCTTTAGGTTTGAATTGTGTTAGCGAGGCTGCACCAGTTAACTCCTTTGATGCTGCCTGGTGTCAGTAGCTGTCAAGTGTGTGTGTGTGTGTGTGTGTGTGTGTGTGTGTGTGTGGATAGATGGAGTTGAAGAAGAGGAGGGGTGGTTGCTGTTTTTGGCGAGGGTCCTTGGAGCAAAGTGTCTGATCTGAAGTGATCTGTATTAAGCTGTTTTGCCACCTAAATTAATAACAATTACTTATTCGGCACACTGTTTGACTTAAAAAGAACTGTCAACAAAATGAATGTATAGTGTCAAAAGTAAAACTACTCATTACTCAGAATAGTCTTAATGTTGATTGTTATGCTTTATCATTATTAACAATTATGAATCCTTACATTTTAAGCATCATTTAAATAAAACAGACAATTATCAAAAACCCAAATGTATTCAATTTACATTATAACTAAACTGACAAAAGCAGCGAACCAGTAACTATTTTAATCAACTAATCAAATGACTCTTTCTATTACTTGTGGGCAGTTCAACCAGAAGGTCGGCGGCTCCATCCCAGTCTTCCCTAGTCCGCATGCTGAAGTGTCCTCTGGCAGGATACTGAAAAAGTGCTGCAGATAGATGTATGACTGTGTGCGTGAATATGTGAATGTAAAAACTGTACTGTAAAGCACTTTGAGTGGTCATCAGGACTAGAAGAGCGTTACATAAATACAGACCATTTACCATTAAAGAAGAAATGTAATTCAAAGCAGTGTCATTTTAGTTGGTTGAAAAAAAAATCATAGCACAGACTTCCTGTTTCTAGGAAGGAAGTGTGGAGTGCAGTTTATTCGTGCCAGATACTGTATGATGTATATGAATATTTAATTTTGACATGTCTTGTTGTTTGTGTGTTGCCAGTGTTCCTATCCTGTGTGGGAGGACTTCAGTGCCAAGGCCACCAAGCTGCACTCCCAGCTCCGGTAAGTTTCTCTGATGACTAAATGAAACTGCCACCAAGGCTCAACAGTCCCCTTTAACTCAATCAAATTAAGCAACACCAGATTGCACACACTCGTAGATACGAGTCCCTCATCCAGATCTTCTCATTATTCTCTGTGAAATTGGTAAATATTTTCCGGAAAATGTTTGTATGGATCTGTGCCAAGTTTTAACAAGTTCTTTCCGGCCCATGTGTCATTCCACCAAATTTGGTGGAAATCCATTCTGTAGTTTTTAAAAAATCCTGCTGACAAGAGTCACCAAAACATAACCTCCTTGGCCGAGGCTATCAACAGCGATGTTTTTTTCTCAAAAACAAATTATGCCATTACTACATTACCCGGGCAAAACCTAAACACTAAATATGCAGAGTAGGCTGAAGCAGGTGCTTGTTAAATAAAGTTTAATCATAATACCATCTATCTAAACTAATGATCATTTTCTGTCCATGTAGAACCACTGTTCTGGCTGCTGTGGCCTTCCTGGACGCCTTTCAGAAGGTGGCAGACATGGCCACCAACACCAGAGGTAGGGTAACATCTGTGTGTGTATTTGTGGATGGTGTGTGTATAACCAGGTAGCAGCTCAGTTATCTATAAGCTGTATGCATTGGTATGTGTTGTGTCATGCTCCTCTGAAGTGCCCTCAACATGAGAGTGCTATTAGGGATCTTATGTTGTGGAGATATTATCGGGCAGTCTGCTTAGTTCTCCTTGGATTGATGAAAGTGTTTCCAGAGGTGAAACATTTAAAGGTAAATTTTGTCAGAATCTTCAAAGCTGTTGGTTTGAAGCTGCTGTTTGTTGATAGTCTGTCTTATCTTTCAGTCTGACAACGTATGAAGCCGAAAAACCCTGTGGTCTTTTTATTTCACCTGCATGAAAATGCTGCTGAAACTTGAAACCAGTGAAACATTAGCCGTATTTTTTTACCTATACTACCTGGAAATTTTTGTCCCAGGAACTTTTTTCAAGTTTATTTATTTATTTAGTCATTTGGCAGATGCTTTTATCCAAAGTGACTTACAAGTGAGACATAACATTCAAGCTACATAGCAACAAGGATCTTAGTGTAACAATAAATACTATCCTACGTTTAAGGGCAGAGATTAAGTAATATTTTGCAGGAGATGGCGGTAGGGGAAAGGAAAGGAGAGACCAGTAGTGCTAGAAAGCAGAGGAGTGATAGAAAGAGGAAGAGTGGTGCTAGGTAAGTGCTAGCGAGGGGAGAAGATGTTCTCTGAAGAGTTCGGTCTTCAATAGCTTCTTGAAGACAGAGAGAGATGCTTAATTTGGACACTGTTCCTTGTGGTAACAACACAAACATTATTTGTTCCTAGTAAAAGTTCCTGGACAAAGTTCCTTAATTAAAACGCATGGTTTATTAAACAATGCTTAGATTACAAGAAAAATACTTAATGTGCTTAGAAAGTGGTTTGAGCAACTTGGGACCAATTACATTTTAGGGTTTCGTCGCTAAACGAGAATCAGCAACATCCAACAAATTCTACACAAACCAAAAAATCCAAATGAGTAACAAATTAACATCAAATAAACAATGGAATAAAGCTTTGTGCTTAGTAACACGTACATGAATGCAGGCAAATGATAATCTCGTGCTGAGGTGAATCATCGCTTGCTGAACGTGCAGGATGTGTTATTGATACCACCTCCAGTTACTTACGTTCAATGTCGGTCTCCCATATATAAAGAAAACTAAAGACAGTGACAGCCAAGTGGGGTCAACCACACAAACGATTTTGCTGTTGGTTAAGGCTGTAAAGTCGTCAGTCGAAATTCACCAAAGCTGAACTCCACATGAAACCACATTGTGGATTTGCTTAGCCACATGAAGCCAATTTGTTATTCTCGGCATTGAAGTGAATGGGAGGCGAGAGTTTGTCACTGTTAGATTCATGTATGTGTGACGCCACCCTTACTGTGCATCCACATGCTCCAGGGAAGGTCCAGTAGTGAAGTTGTTGTTCAGACTTTAATGTGCTTATGTGCTTTGAAGTCAGAATGCGCTGTAAACAAGTTATATACAAAGAAAAAGGATCTGGTGTGACAGACATAATTTAAAACATTTGAACACTTCATCAGCGACGATCATAAAAACGTCTATAACACTATACTGAAACGCATGGTGTTACGTACATGAGAGATGGACATGCTGTTATATTTTACTAGTTCTCATTTTGAGCTACTGTTTGGAGGTTATTGTAAAATTATTATTGTTCTATAAGTGATGACATCAGTTACTTGTGTACCACAACCTTTACCGACTTTGTTGTGGAGTTGTTGTTCCAACTTGACATGGCATTTACATAAATGTTTCTAGTCAGGAACCCCTTTTTTTTGATTATTTTGACAGCACATGACTGCACAATTAATCTCTGCACCCGGTAAACAGCAAGTATTTTAAAACAGTATTATAACTTTGTGTAAAGTCTTTGTTAGCATTTGTTTTACGTTTCCGGATTTAAGTCTAGGACATGAGGGGAGTAACAATGTAAATAACCCAGGGAAAGAGAATCATGGCAACTTATGAATGAACAAAAGAGTAATTTATTTATAACAAACTGAAAACAACTTTCTAGAAAGGAAAGTGACACTGACAAACAGCAGTAACAATTAAACTCACCACAACATAACAGAAACTAAATGGTCGCGCTAGCAACAACAGTACACAGCTCAAATGCTGTCACTTGGCCCACTGGGGCTGGGTGTCTGCTTCTCTCTGCCTCTTTGGCCTTATTGGTTATTGTGCCAAGCCTTGCACACTCACACTGCAGCTACAGGGAATAGGGAGGCACCCGAATAGACACTGGGGAGAGAGAGCAGAGAGAAAACACAACACAGCAAGTAACATTATTAAAGGCTGTTAACTGGTGTTTCCACAGCCACAGGTAAAGACAACTATGTGATAAAACAGTGCAAAACATTTCACCAATATTGTACCTATAAACGTGCTGGTTCACAGCAAGTTTCACCATTTCTTGTTACATGCAATGCCTGTAATTAAGCTGTTACACTGTGGCAATGTGTCTTTCCTTGCCTCTTGCTTTACACACAGCCTTGGTTGTTTCTGAATGGGAAACCCATCTTTTGCAAAGGCTGTGTTTTGATGTTTTCAACAAAGCTCAACTTGGTGTTTTTCCCCCCAAAGCTGCATTCAGCCACGAGAGCTCACTGAACTCTGAATTATGGTCAATGGATTGTGTTTTTCATGTTTTTTTGGCTTGACACTCTTGACAGGCTTGATATTCTGTGTGTAGGCTTAAAGCTGGCCACTAGTTTTCATAGCATGTGGGCCGGGAGCTGAGAAGGTCAGACAAACACTCACCACCCACTGGAAGCCATCGTAATACTGTGGCACCACTGAGGGAAACTAGAAAGTCAACTGAGGTTGTAGTAGCATTCTAGTGAAGCTGCCAGACTGTGTGTGTGTGTGTGTGTGTGTGTGTGTGTGTGTGTGTGAGTGTGTGGCCCCAGGTGGGATTCTATAGAGGAGGATAGAGGAAGCAGCTCGTGTTGCTTTTATAGGCCAGACAGGAAATAACCAAGCTCTGTCAGCTCATTACACATGCCGCTACTGCTGCCACACACACAAACACACACACATGAGAGAGAGGCAAAATATAACAAATGATGTTGGTACTTAGATGCAGACTGTGCATCAGAGGCTCTTTGTGCTTCCTATACTGTTGAGTCATTTCTGTTGGAGTCCATTTGTCAGATCGCTGTACAATTACTGCTCTAGTGTGTGATGTTCTCTAATAGATTTGTTAAATGAATGGTGGCAGGAGACGGCACTAATAATGATGCTCTCTGTCTCTTGCTACATCAGTGTGCCACTTCATTATGTAATGTGTGTGTGTGTGTGTGTGAGAATCAAAACCAAAGGGTACTGATGATCCTTTGCTCTGCTCTTGTACCAACATTTTACCACATCTCATTTATGAACCTTTATGTTACTTGGCAGTGTTTCCTTTCTGCTGTTCAAATGTCATGTGAATCAACATTTTGTAAAATGTATCTTTATTTGCTGTTGGAAATCTAAATTATTCAGGATGTAGAAGATATCTGGACTTGAAGGTGCCCAGATTCTGCATAAGCACTAATGATAATGATATTAAATCAGGTCTAATATTACAAATCTGCATTGTTACATATTATTTATAAAGGTAGTAACCCTTGAGGTTTTAATCCATCACATCGTCCAGATGGAAATATAGAAACTTGTTCCACACATCAGTGTTTTTCCTCAGGATGAAAATCGTAAAGTTTTATCCACCACTGAGAGCATCTAACTTGCTGATGTTAGAATTCGGCGCACAGAACCGCTGTGTCCAGGTACAGCTCCAGTGATCTGCCAGCATTTCTGTTGACTCTCAGTTGACTACTTAGAGACATGCTGAGCAACAATTACAGAGACAATTTCTTTTGAACTTTTCTCCTGGTGGTCAGATGAGGACATGGACCAGAAGAATTAGTTTAAGAAAGAGGATCAACAGCAACTTTCAGTGGAGAGTTCCTCCTGATGTAGGGAAAAGGGGGTCCTAAATCCTGGTCATTTTATGTTATTGTAAATTATTAAATCTTCCCTGTAGGATTATTAAACATTCTTTACAATAAAATGTGTGCTCACAAGAACAAAGCAGTTCACTGCATCACACATGATGCAAGGAAACCAATGGGAGGTTGTGGAACTAGTGGGTTTGTCCTGCTTGGATCTTGGCCAGACCTTGTTTTCTGTGGGGCCCCTAATGTTTTGTTGCCAGTTACATTCAGTTTTATTTTTTAAACTGATAAAGATGAAGGTGGAAGCCTAGTGGGTGAGAAAAACTGTCCTGTGTGTGTGCGTGTGTGTGTGTGTGTGTGTGTGTGTGTGTGAGAGAGATATTTAGCAAATGGGTTAATCCAGTAGGAAGAAATGTCCAAGTGTTTGTGGATTCCCTGGTGAGGGGTGAATTTGAGTGCACTTTCAGATGTGATCTCCACTCCCCTCTCACAGCCCAAACTTTGTTACCCCAGGGCAATCTGGTTTAGTGTTTGTGTGTGTGTTTGTGCATTTCAGAGCGAGAGAGTAGGGAAACGAGATAAAGAAATATAGAATACCAATGAAATGAAAGCAAATAAACAAACATGCCTGTTGCTCTGATCTGGTCAGTGGGAGCTGTGTGTGTTTCATTATTAGTGAGGACAAACAACACATAGGATTGTTGAGAAATTTTCTTGCAGCCTTTTCAAAATCGTAGTTAAGCAGCCATGGTTTATTTGCCTCACTGGGCTTGTTGATGGAGAATTTGGTCTCTCTGTTTAAAGAGAACACGGTCATCTAAATTAAGGAAAATTATTAAAGAAATAGCCCATAATTAGTGGCTCAAGGAAATAAATGATAGAGAATAATATCAAACAATGTAAGTTTGCGATTACAAGATATATGTTGTAATCACGCAGCATTAAACACTTGGCAAGAAATGCAGCGAGCTACAGTGCAGAGAAATGCTCATGTAACACACATTT